TCTTTGATTATCACTGGTTGAAAGAACTTCAGTAGACATAGTTGGCAAGATATTTGGGCTTTTAACAGCTTAGTTGATCATATCCAATGTTTGTTCTTGTAGCAGTTTCAACAAATAAATATGAAATTTTAATAACTGTATATTCTGTCTGCAGCTAAGATTCTTCTATTGTTTAGGGTCGTTGATAAGTGAAGAAGACGTTACGCATCTCAATGAAGTCGAAGAAAAATTGGCTAAAGTTGAAGAGGCTTCTGGAAGCGCATCTCCAGAACGAGTTTCACCACCGTTTCCTCCACCGTTTATGCACAAACGACAATCTTCGGTAACTATTTTTTTTCATTCTTTTTTTGTTAAACATTTATATAAAATTAAAATTCTTATTAGTGAATGTCTACTTTTATTATTATTATTGTTATTACTCTTATTTTTACTTATATTGATAATTTCCAGTTTTATTTTCAGTTTTTTTTGTTATTATTGTTATTGTTGGGCTTTTTTTTTGCCATGTTTTCGTCTTCATTTTTTACTGCTATTGCTGTTGGAACTGTGCAATAGTTTTTTATTTTGTTCAGTAGCTTTTCTATCAACTTTTCCTTACTGCTGCTGTTGTTTGTTGTTCTCACGTTTTTATTTTTATTTCCTCAGTTATCCTTAAAGCCGTTATTTTTTGTTTTTTTTTTTTCTTTATAATTCTGATAGGTGAAATCAACAGTGGATTTTTATTTTCAAATTTTTCTTCTCATCTTACAAAAAAAAATTTTTTTGTTAAGAAAAAAAATAGAACTTTATAAAGGTATAAAGATGTTTTTGTATAATAAAGTTTAAAAATTAATTTGTATTGTTGAGGAAAAGTCCAGCAAAAAAAAAAAAAAGTTGAAAAACTAGTGGAAAATACAGAAGCATAGTGGGGGAAAAAAGAATTCTTTTTTTATTTCGAAAACAAAATTTTTTGATAAATTTGTTATCTATGAAGTGTACTTGAAACAAAGGCAAAACAAAAAGTTTCGGTGTTCAATCACATTTTATGCAATTAATATATTAATCAGTGTAGCAGAATTTTCGTCTTAAGAATAAGAAAAAAAACAATGAAGAATCAAAAGCTGTTTTTTTTTTGTTTATTGTTTATTTATTTGTTTATAAATATATATATATTTTTATTAACACCGTGAAGCTTGGTTTTCTTGAATTTTGTTGATATTTTTAGTGCTTTTTACACTGTTATCATCACCGGATAACAGAATTAGGAAAGTTAGGGAAAGGGGAGAAACATTGTGTGAACTCTCAGAAACAATAACCAAAAGGATTGCTAAATTGACTGCACCAATGAAAACCTATCAATAAACTGCTGCCGCTGTATAATTTTTCTGCATCTGAATAAGTTGACTAACTTTTATTATAAATTAACTGTTTTATTGCTGTTAACAGAGTTAAGTTGTTGATTAGGTGAAAAAATTTTTGCATAAGTTGTTGGCCATTTAGTGATTGATGATAGTCAGTGGAGAAGCTGCAAAACTGAGCGGACAAATATAATATGTTGAAATGAAGAAGTTGATAACTTAGTTATAGGTTAAGTAAAGTTAACTTTGTTTGAAAAAAATATTCCCAAAATAAGAAGTTCTACAACTCACAGTTATTAAATGTTTTATCAATAAAGTCATTGTAAATTGTTTTTGATAAAGCACAAAAGAATTGCTGAGATTGTTTTTTTTCTTTTTTTTTGTTAAAAATTATTCAA